CCCACTCCAAGTAGAAAGTGAGATGCATTTGGGTCGTGTCCCTTCAAAGCACATTCATGGTTCCTGAAAAGTATGAATTTCATTATTAACAGCAACAAAAAGGGCACAGTTCCCAACTGTATGGCTCAATGAGTTTTCATAAAGTGCACACACCTATGTGACCAGCCCCCAGAAGCCCCACCGCCAGGGGCCCCTTGCAGTCACTATGCCACCTCGAGACTAACCATCACCCTGACTTTTAGCACCACAGATGTGCTAAATGGTGTTATCAAAAATGTTTGGGGCCTTGATTCCAGGTTCTCAAATTTGAATGCCCCGAGGGGCTCCCCACAGGTGTCCCTAAGGATGGAAGGGCCCAGTAGGACTGTGGTCCCTTGTGATCTGCTTTACGGGGAACTTTGGCAATGGTTGCCAGGCAAAAATGCAGGCCCAGTGTCGGCAGGTAAATTGATCTTGCCAGAGAAGCTGAAAGTCTAGATTTTTATGTGAAATCATGATTATTGAATGTTGGCAACTCATGAAAATTTAGCACCCTGTGGAGGCCAATTCCAACCAGGCCAAACAAAACATGCTCATGGGCCAGACTTGGCCTGCAGGCTGCTGGTGGAGGTGACCTTGAGGGACCCCCAGGCCCGTGGGGGAGATGAGCATGAACACAGACATCACAGCTCAGAGGAGGGGTGATGAAGGGCCAGACGGAGGAGGACAGAGCCAAGGAAGGCTCTGACGCACGTGGAGCGATGTGTGACCAGCACTTTGAAGAACGCACAGGATCAGCACAGCGAGGGCACCCAGGCAGAGGGAGGGGGAGGGAGGGAGGTGGGCGAGGCCTGGGGGACTGTCCCAGCCAAGGTTATCAGGAAGCGCAAAGTGGCTTGCTGTGTCTACGGCATGGGAGGGGCTGAGATGTGGGCAGGGCCAGCCATACAGGACCTGGAAAGGCAAACTGGGGCATCTAGACTTTGTCCTGGGGCCGGCAGAGGGCAGTACTTGAGCAGGTTAAACAGAGGCATTGGGGGCATTCCCTGGCGGTCCAGTGGTTAGGACTCGGTGCTTTTACTGCCGTGGCCGGGGTTCAATCCCTGGTCGGGGGTCTTGGGAGACAGGACGCCTTGGCCTTTGACAGTGTCTGAAGAGAAGGGGACAGGGGCTTGTGCCCACACTTCTGGCCTCCTGAACAAGCTCCCTCCCCACCTCAGCCCCACCCCCAGGCAAAGACCCTCCTTGACCAAACCTTAGTCGGGCTCCTCTGAGCCCTTTTCTCAACTAGGCCCTGACCTTAGGCTCTGTCCTTGGCCGGCTTACTCCAGTTTTAGCAAGAATCCTACTGTCTTCCTTGAAACCCAATCAAGTTCCTCATTCCCCACTCCAGACAGCTTATCCTGCTGGGCCACCTTCAGCAGGAATCCTGTCAATCCTGTCAAGTCACTTTAGCCAGAATCCCCCCAGCCCTGAGGTTTCCTCCGTCCACTGACTGCCCCCCTGCTCCTTGGCTATAAATCCCCTCTTGTCCCTGTGTTCAGAGTTCAGCCCAATCTCTCTCCTGTGGCAAAACTCCTTTTGCAGTGGTCCCTGAATAAAGGCTGCCTTACCGTCTGAACAAGTGTCATGAATAATTTTTCTTTAACACCTGTCCACACCCAAGGCAACTGTAACATTATTTGAGGATAAAAATACGTATCCTATCCAAGGGGCTTGCTCATGAGTTTGGATTCGGTTCCAGAAGGGTGTGTAGACACATGCAGCGGCGCCCTCTGGTGGCACAATCTCCACCCCTTCGTCCTTATCCTTACTTCGAGTACAAGGTCCAGGGCAACATCAGTCAGAACTTTGGAGCTTCCCCGCGCCCCGCCCCCACCTGCTCCGGCTCAGCACAGGGAAGCTCCGTCCTTGCAGCAGCTCCTGCCAAACACCTCAAAGGCGTCTTACACATCCCACCTCAGATCCTGCTGGATCTGCTTTTGAAAATTGACACAGATGCAGAACCTCGTTGCAACCACCCTGGTCTGAGCCGCTGGCATTACTTGCACGGATTCACTCACTAGCCCCCAGCTGGTCTCTGTTTCCCCCTTCTTAATTCAGCATCTAGAGTGGTCCTGTTATACTCCAAGTCAGATATGTCTCTCCTCTACTCAGAACCTCCCCAGGCTCCCACCCAACTCAGAGTAAATGCTGGAGTCCTTGTAACTGACTCCACACACCATGACCTGTCCCCTCCCCCCATCACCTCTCTACTCTCCCTGCTCACTCATCTCCAGCCACACTGCTTTCTCAGTTATCCCCTACCTCAGGGCCTTTGCACTGGCTGCTCCCTCTTCCTGGAACCTCCTTTCCTGGGATATCTCCATGGCCTGCTCCCACCCTCCTTCAAGCCTTTGCTCCAATGTCAACTTCCCAGTGAGATCTCCTTGAAGCCCTGATTTAAAATTACAATCTGCTACCTTCACTTCTATCCTCCTCCCTGCTTTATTGTTCTCCCTGGCTCTTAACACCTGCCGACTCTACAACGTACTTATTAATGCTGTTCATGCTCTTTTCTCTCTGGTGCTGAGCATCCAATGGGCACTCAGAGAGTGGAAGATTGTCTTAGATGGAAATTTCAAACCCCTCTGTGCTTCTTCTGGGTACTTCTTAAGAGAGTGTGGCCCCTGAGACATATGTCACTTGGGCTCTCCTGGCTTTGAATGCCCAGGACAGGGTTCCCAGCCTGTAGGTCCCTGAGTGCTACACACACGCACATGAACCACCGTCTCAAGCCAACATCTGAGGGGCTGGTTTTCAAATGTGTACAGATACTCCCCCGATGAATATTGCTCGGCCTTTTAAAAGTGTCACTGAATTCTTTTCAGCTGTTTGGCCATGATGTATTTTCTCTCTCAACCAATACCCTCAATACTGAATGGAGGTCCTCCTCAAAATAGCTGGGAACGCCTTGCCTAGGGCCAGAAAAGGGATCTAATGAACAAGTCTGGAGACCCTTGGCCATCCTTCATATGGGTTCCTGCCAGGAACGTTGCCCACAATTATTCTCACCTACCCCCAGGCAAAGTAGCAGCAGCTGCCAGGGAGCACAGGCTCACCCACTAGAGTAAGGCAATTCATAATCCCTTAACCTTGAATTCTGCAAGCCCTGCCACTCCACAAGCAGGGGGTTGTTGGAGCAGTTCTCAGCTTGGGCAGAATTCAGATGAGCTCTTGTAATCAACATGCAATTAACTGTTGCACATCCTGGGCATCCGGGCACCCTGTGCTTTGCAGTGTGACGGGGCTTCAGGGGACATGGTTATTTTAGAGCAGAGGTGGGGATGGAGCGTTCATAGCTGGGCAATCCCACCTTGCACAAGAGATCCTGAAAAGGTCTGTGTGAATTTAGTCCTCTGATCTTGGTTCAGATGTTAATAATAATAATAATGATGATGATGGCCAGCGTTTATTGAGCACCTAGTATGTGCCAAGTGCTTTTTGCAGGTGTGATCTCATTCCGACAGCCCAGTATTCCTCCTCCCTTTTTTTTTTTTTTTTTTTTTTTTGCGGTACGCGGGCCTCTCACTGTTGTGGCCTCTCCCGTTGCGGAGCACAGGCTCCGGACGCGCAGGCTCAGCGGCCATGGCTCAAGGGCCCAGCCGCTCCGCGGCATGTGGGATCTTCCCGGACCGGGGCACGAACCCGTGTCCCCTGCATCAGCAGGCGGACTCTCAACCACTGCGCCACCAGGGAAGCCCCCTCCTCCCTTTTATAGATATGGAACTGAGACTCAGAAAGGTTTAGTACAATAACTTGTTCAAAGCCCACAGCTGGTCAAGCCCCAGGGTCGCCTGACCCCAAAGTCAGTATTCTTGACCTTTCTGTTCCCACCCCCCACCTTGGAGATTCTGGGTTGGCAGCCTCTGTAGGGCACCCCTGCCTGATAACTGCAACAACTTTGTGTCTGGTGTGGTACCTCCTTGGGTCATACTGCTAAGGATCTCAGGTGGGTGGGGATGCCTGCATGGGGAGGTCCCATTCGTCATATCCAACACTTGGCATCCTGTGTGGCACACTTCTTTGTCACCCTTCGCGCTGTACCATGCCATGATAAGGAGCCCGGGTGACTGCAGCTTCATCCTGCCAGGGGAGCCTGTCCTGTTGGTTCACACAGCCCAAATCTCCCCGGGAGACCCCCAGGGGAAGCACAAGCCCTTTAGACTCTACAACCCTGCATTTCTGGTGAGGTGCCCCTCCTGACAGGTCCTGCAACTCCAGGATCAGTAATGAGGCATCCTTTTCAGTGGGCCCTGCTGCTTCTTGGGTGTGGGAAGCCCAAAAAACTCAACTCTGCAGCTCAGACTCTTTGGGGCTCCTTCTTGGGGCTCCCTACCGGGCCTCCGGGGGAGGGTGCTGCCGGTCCATGTTCCTTGTGGGGAGCCCCAGCAGGCTCTGCCCTTCTCTCCAGAGGGCGGGACTTCTCTGGTTCCTGTGTGAGATGACCCCTCCTGGCTGGTTTTGTTGCCTCACGTCCCCGGTGGGAAGCCTCTTTCTCCGAGAGCGCCTTCTCTGGCACTCTCTTTGCTTCTCAGACTCTCCACTCGGGTGCGGGTCTCTTTAGGGGGCGCCCTTCTCTGCCGGGCCCCCGCCAGCGCCCGGCGTGGGGCGCCCCCTCTCCCAGTGAGGGCGGGAACCAGAACAGTGTCGCCGGCCGCCTGCAGGTGTCTCCCCACGGAGGGGCGCGCGTCCCTGCGCCGTGGCCGCTGCCAGGCGCCAGCGGCTCCTCGCCGAGGTGCACTCGCGCTCCGGGCTCCGGGCGCGCAGGAGCCGCTCCGCCACCGCCCGCCCCCCGCGCCCCCCGTGCGCCGCGCCCCCACCCCGGGGGCGGGGGCATGGGCCAGCGCCGCGTCCGCCGCCGCCCATCGCAGGCGCCCGAGCCCCGGGGCGCGGCGGGCAGCGGCCGCTGACGCGGGGCGCCGGCTGCCAACTTCGCGCGCGGAGCTCCCCGGCGGCGCAGTCCCGGCGGCGCGGGCGGCATGAAGACGAACCGCCGCGGCCGAGCGCTCCTGGCCGTGGCCCTGAACCTGCTGGCGCTGCTCTTCGCCACCACCGCCTTCCTCACCACTCACTGGTGCCAGGGCACGCAGCGGGTGCCCAAGCCGGTCTGCGGCCAGGGCGGGAGCGCCAACTGCCCCAACTCGGGCGCCAACGCCACGGCCAACGGCACCGCCGCCCCCGCCGCCGCCGCCGCTGCCGCCGCCGCCGCCGCCGCCGCGGGGAACGGCCCCCCTGGCGTCGAGCTCTACAGCTGGGAGACAGGCGACGACCGCTTCCTCTTCAGGAATTTCCACACTGGCATCTGGTACTCGTGCGAGGAGGAGCTCGGCGGGCTCGGTGAGTGAGCGGCGGCGCCCCGGGGCTCCGCTCCCGGCTCCTCCGGGCTGCGCGGCCCCGGCGCCCCAGACCCAAACCCGCGCTCCCTCCTCGCGCCCGGGCCGGCGGCCCGCGCCACCGCCAGGACGCCGTGCCCCGCGCTCCGCAGGCTCGGCCGAACGTTCGGGGGCGGGGAGCGCGGTGGGCAGGTCCGGGGGTGTCGAATGATGGCGTTCGGGACGCTCCGCCGTTTCAAGGTTCGGGCAGAGCTCGTGCCCCTTCCGAGCACCAGGCGCCTGTGGGGACGTCGCCGCGCCTTGGAGAGGCGCGTCTCCCGGCACCCACCCCGTTCCTTTCCGAGCCAGAACTCATCTCCATGCTCGCCCCTTCCCCCTCTTCCTTTCGCGGGGCACTGGCTACTCCCACCCATCCCTTCCCGCCTGGGGTGGCGGTGGTGTTGGCGCAGGGACTGTTGCTGTCAGCCGCCCCTTTCCACCGCAGATCCACAGAGCCAGAAGCCGAGGGGTTCGTTCTTCCACCCCCATCCCCAGCCCGCACTAAACCGCTCCCGGACCGGGTTTGGGCAGCACGGGGAGTGAGGAGTGGGGGCAGTCTGGTGGGTTCCCGGCAGGGAGCCCTTCGCGTCCCGGCCCCTGCCCGGGAGAATATGCGGCAGGAAAGCGGGACAGCTCGGCGAGGCTCGGATCAGAATTGGGGCGCGGGGTGGGGGGACTCTTCAGAAGGCAGATCAAACTGTTCCCTCGGCCTCGCACCCTTTCCTGGACCTGCCGCCGGAGGCAGCCAGGGCCGAAGTGTCCCCGAGGCAGGCATTGAGGCTAGGGCAGGGCTCAGGGGAAAGCTGCCTGGCAGTGGTTGTACCACATGCTGGGCATGCTGGTCCACACCACCCGGTACCTCCCAGACGATGTTGCTCCGAGTCCAAGTCTGGGGACCCTCTTGAGTGGAATTGACCTCTTTGCCCAAGGTTAAAATTCCCCCGTGCCTGCCTAGCTCTTTGATGTCAGCGTGGGCCTTGTGTGTAGTCTCATGTAGACAGGAGTGGGCCACAACCGCTAGTTTGCCCTGAATACGGCGTTGGCCTGACTGGTTTAAAGGACAGAGGGAGGAAGGTGTGAAATAAACCCGGGGAGGCTGCTGCCTCTGCCTGGAATGCCCTTCCCCACATCTTCCTTGGCTGGCTCCTCCTGAGCTCCAATGGGACTTCCTGACCCGCCTTCCCAGGTCGGGTTCCTTGGAGAGAAGACCTCCCTATCCCCCTTTGGAGGCAGGGTCTCCCCATCTTCGTAGCTCATCACCATTTTTATCTCCCCCATCACACTTGACACACCTGAAGTTTTCTGGGGGCATGTCTTTGGTCACCAGCTTCTTGTCTCCCTTACCTATAGGATGTCACTCCATGAGGGCAGGGCCCTAGCCGTCTTGTCCATTGCCATGCCCAGTTTCTGGGTACTTGTCTAGTGCATAGAAGGTCTTCAATACCTATTTGCAGGATAAATGTTGGATGAGGCTTCGGGACCATGAACCAGAGGTTTCCCAGGGTGCTGCCTGCTCTGTCTTGCCTGTAGGGGTGCCCCACTGAACTTTCCTGGGACCACCTGCTTGATGCCGGCTGTTTGCCAAAGACACTCCGAATAGGGTCCCACCCCTGACCAGTTTCACCCCATCAGACTCACTTCTGGTGTGCACTCAGGACTTGAATTTTTACTCTGGGATGTAATAATAATAATAATTTAATGATTTAATAATAATTAACCTTAAAAGACATCTCGGCTAAAATTCCCTGCTTTCCTCTCCCATGGAGGCCTCGGAATGCCTCATCCTGGGAAATATCTGCACCCTTTGGGGTAGGGTCCCCCCACCTCACCTCTGCCTCTCACCAAGTTTCTCCTTCGTGTAAAAACGCAGACTCCCTGCCCTTTTCTTTATGTACACACTTAAATCCAATGCTGTGTCCTGCAGCGGAGTTGCCCTGTCTCTGCCCCATGGAGTGCCTGGGCCCTCACTGGCCAGCTGAGCCTCTCAATTGTTTGAGGTCTCTCCTAGCTTCTTCCTGAAGGTCACGCCCCCCAACTCCTGCAGTTATTTCCCTGTAGCTTGCCCGTGTAGCTCCTCCAGAGCTTGACACAGAATGTTTAAAGCTAAGCATTAAAAAAATTGTTAATTAGAAACAATGCTAGCTCACATTTATTGAGCCCTTCATGTGTACCAGACATTGTTAAAACTTCTCACCGGCTGGATCTTGTTGAATCCTTGCCAACACCCTTGTGGCAGGCACTTCTATGGTGCCCATTTTTCAGATGAGGAATTTGAAGCTAAGAGAGGTTTTCCTCTGGCCTCACAGCTGATGAGGGGACCTGAATTGTCTTCATGGGGCACAAAGGAATCAAAATGAAGTGATCAGGGAAGAGAATGGTGCAGTTGGGGGTCAGAGAAAGGTGTGATCTGGGGGGCTCAGCATAAGACCCTCACCCCCAGTCCTTGGTTAGTAAAAACATTGATGGTTAGTTTGTTGGGTAAATAAACCAAACCCACAGTTTTCTCTTTCCTCTTGATCACTGTTGGCTAGAGATCGCCCCTCCCAGAAAATCACAATTTTCCTCCCTGGGAGCTTGGAAAATAGTTATCAGCCTGTCAGTGCTGGTGAGAAATTTGGGAGGTCTGAGCCAAGCTTTGGATGGTTTCCCCCACTGATCCTACAGTGCCCAAATCCTGCCCCTCCATGGTCACGGTACTGAAAGGGTGTCAGGAGGTACCTGGCCTCAAACTTTTGTTGCTATGACAACCTTTCTTCTGGGTTCTGCGACCATTTTAAAATTTATTTTCTACTTGAAGAGAAAAAAAAAAAAAACCCCAACAGCCCTCCCCGCCCCGAACAAAATCCTGTCGTCCCCGCCAGAACATCAAGGACCAACTTCCTTCCTTCATGCCCATGAAACTACAGGGAAGGCTTTCTTCCTTTCTCTGCATTTTATGTTCACTCCAATGAAAACACCAACCACGAAATACTAACCTCTCCGTGAGAAGCAGCTGCTAAATGTTCCTTCCTCTCAAACGCCTGTTTGGTAATTTCTTTCTGTGCTCAGAAAAACCTCTCCCCATTCTGGGCAGCCACAGGGAAATCTAATAAACCCTTTTCCCACACGAAAAATCTACGGCGTTCACAAAGAAAACTGCAGCCTGTCCTAAACAGACACAATTTCCCCAGACCCGGCACAAAGGAAGCTTTTCTCCTTCCTCCAAGAAGGAGCATCAGCCTCATTCAACAAACAGAAAGAGAAGTGTGGCCTCGACACAGAATTACCCCCAAGCCCTTCACGCAGATTGGATTTCTCTTCTGGATTAGATGCTCGGAAGGCTCGGGTGGGTGCAGACGCAGGCATTGGGGTTGGAGGGGCAGCAGAGAAAGGCCTGGAGGCGTCACGAGTGAAGGTCTGGAGGCGGGCAGGTGGGGATGGCAGGCAGGTGGCTGTGCTGACGGGGAGCACAGGTGATGTTGGACTTCAGTCTCAGGGAGTGTGTGTTGGAACCTCAGGAAATGGGTGGCTCCGGAGGACTGATGGGGTGGCAGGGTCTAGGAGGGCTTGTGAGGGTGGCTGGAGGGAAGTGCGATTGGGGCGGCCAGAGAGAAGGGAGAGACCAGTCAGGGGGAGGAGGAGCTGGACGTTTGGTGTCCTGACTCTAAACCCACTCTCTCCCCTGTCATGGGTGGGACAGTGCCCACTCTCTCTTGTAAAGGGTGGATGCCACGCACTGCCTCTTTTTAGCAGTGTGGTTTGGGCGAGGGCCTCAGTTTGCTGCCGTGTAGAATGGGGTTAGGGAGATCAGAGCAACTAGCAGCTGCTCATGGTGCAAGGATTCAGTGAAATAGTACAGGGAAGTGCCGGGCACCTGTTGGGTGTGTGAGTGCCCCTGGTCACCTCTGGGCTGCCACCTGTCTGAGCCACCCACGTCTCTCCTGTGGACTTCTGCAGCAGCCTCCCCGCTTCCACCATTGCCCCCACCCCTGCCAGTCCCCTGGCCACCCTGCATCTGAGTAATCATCAGATCCTGTCTCTCCTTTGCACAGCCCACCTCTGACAACTGCCCCTCCCCCCCCACTTAGAGTCAAAGCCACATCCTCCCCAAAGCTTGAGGCCCTGTGTGAAGGTGGCCCTCAGCCCCTCCCTGGCTACATGGCCTCTCTGCCTCTCTGGGGTCCTCTCCTCCCGCCTGGTCACTGGCTTCTGCCACACTGGCTCTTGACACCAGGCACGCTCCACCTCAGTGCCTTTGCACTGCCTTTCCCTCTGCCTGGAATGCTCTTCCCCCCAGTTGGCCACAAGACTGTTTCTGGAAACTTCTTGAAGTCAGCTCTTTCCCAGCACCCCATTCAATATTGATCTCCCCACACTTTTGCTGCTTGATTTTTCTGCTAGCATTTGCCACCGTTGACTTTTCCTCAGTGTTCCTCATTTGTTTTGTGTGTGGTCCACCAGCTCCGTGAAGGTGGAGGTTGAGTTTGTGTTGTTTCATGGCTGGCTCCCCAGTGCTCAGGACACTGGCAGCAGTAGGTGTTCAGTCAACATTTGTGGGATAGATGTTGGTTGTTATGTCTGTTGTTCTTTGTGTCCGGTTCTCTGCCAGGCTCTGAGTGTCTTCTTATGCTGCAGGGAAGCATGGGGCCCGGCCGGGGACCCCTCCCCTTCCGCTGAGGCTTCTGTTACATCTACCCCTCCTTACACACACACACACACACATATGCATGAGTGTGGGGCGGGCCCATAGCTCCTCAGGAGAAGGCCCCTGCCACCCCCCTGCCTTTCTTGCTTCCCCTTCATTTCTACAGAAAACCCCAGCTCTTCTGTCCGTCCCTTATATCATGCTGCTACATTTTCACAAGTATGAGGACGCATGTGATGTCCCCAACCTGGGGACCTGCGGCACTTGGGAATACGTTGGTGTAATATTAGGCCAGGAGCAGCTGATACATGAAGAGTTGGACTTTGAAGGGCATGGCTTGA